AATTCTACCAAATTTAAAACGTTGCCTAATCCCTTCAAACGTTTCGGCAGTACAGCTTTTTAATTTTGTCTATTCATAATTGTCAAAATAAATCTGGGGTTGTGAATGCTACTGCTTTTCTTGTTATTTGGCCGTTTTCCGTGATTAATTTGGTATTGTTTTAGTTTTGTTTTGTTGTTAAGTTTTGTTAAAATGGACGATGCCGGTATAGACCCGAGTGGCCTACAACAATCAACCTTTGACATTTCAGGAAGTTTTTCAAATGTCTTCATCAATAGTCTAATGTCTGAATAAATTTTATAAAATTGATAATAAAAATTTCATTTTGTTTCCCTTTCTTTCCTGGGCACAGACATAACTAAATTCTATTCTAATTATCCAAGCAACAGATAGTTTAAGTTCCATGTTGTTTAGTTCCGTTCCATAAAATATGAATTTAGAAAATGCTGGCCTCATTACAAACCCGAGGTATTGTAAAAAATTGAAAATTGCCCAGCTCTTTCAAACTACCAAACGTTCAAAGTTTCAATAAAACTATAATATATATTTTTTAAATTTATCTTTGAAATGAAATGTTCAGCACTGATGCTTTTTTTCTAACGTTATAATGAATGGAGTATAAAATATAAAAAATAAATGCAATGCAGTGGTAAAGCTCGGTCGAGAAAGTCGAGTAAAAAATTGCATTCTTAATACAAAACGCTTAAAAAATCCACTTAGGTCCCTGGCACCCTGAGATGGGATTCTAACCCACGACTTTTCGCAATCCGGGCGACTGCTCTAACCGCTGAACTACCCAGGATCTAACACGACTGACGAATCTTTCAAGCACTTGTTACTTTCCGCTACTACAGAGCGTATTTTCATCAGTCCTGTTAGGTCCCGGGTAGCTCAGCGGTTAGAGCAGTCGCCCGGATTGCGAAAGATCGTGGGTTCGAATCCCATCTCAGGGTGCCAGGTACTAGACGTGTGCGCCACGCCGCGCCGATGACCGACGCCGCCGATCATGACGCGCCGCCGCTGCCCGGTTCGAAAGATCGGCGTAAACGGCGCGGGATGGCACGAACTGCGAGTAACGTTCGTTTGCTCGGTTGCTAAGCAACGTAGTGGATTCTCCGCGGGACATGTTAATTCCGTTCCGTATGCTCATCCTTATTTCCAAATCAAGTAAAATTTAATGAATACAGACAGTAAAGTCAATGATCAGATGCAAACAAATAAAAAATCGAATCTTTCTTCTTCAGTTACAGCTGTCAACAAAATTGTACAATTAATGTAGCACTCGTCCACAAGATGGAGTTGGCAGAATTCATAAATTCGATGCAGCATACCCTTATATGTCTATTCTAGCTAACCCGCTACAAGCACACCTAGCAAACGTGTATTCTCTGTAGCTGGCCTTACTAAAACGGCTAAACGATTGCGTCTAACAGGGAATAATATCAATAAAATAATTTCTATACATGATAAAGATAAGTCCGCCATTTGTCTATTTCTTTATGCAAATAAGATTAAATGAGTAAATAAATAACTATTAGGTTGGGGAAAAAGTCTTTTTCGTATATAGTATGCATAAAGTTGTAATAAAATCTTTCTGGCTATACCATTTCTATGTGGCTGGTTTCGGTATCAATAAAATAGTTTAAATTTTAAAGAAGATTTCGAATTCAAATTAGGAAAAATGTGTGATTTTCATTTGTTTATCTTACCGACAAAATAAGTAATGCTAATGAAGAACTTAGATACATTGTGACATTTTATTATAAAAAGGTAAACCTGCAACGTGAACCGCGAAAAAGATTCTGTGAGAGTAGCACAAACTTGGTTTAAGCGTTTCCAGCCCCGGACATTTTGATGTTAAAGGTGTACTTCGCTCCGGTCGCTCTGTTACGAATAAAATGGATGCCACTTTTGGGAAAGTGAAGCAAGATCGGCATATCAGTAGTTACGACGAAGCTGAGCTCACTGAAAGAAACCTAATGAACCGTGTACTCTATTGAGATTCTTTGTTGCGGCGTAATGAAACCGAATCATTTTTTGAAGAAGCTGATAACTGGTGATGAAAACTGCATCACGAAAGGCAAGAACGTGCGAAAAAAGTCGTAGTCAAAGGTCGGTCAGACTTTACAGACTGTGGCGAAACCCAGGGTTAACTGGCAAAAAGGTGATGCTGTTTGTATGGTGGGATTGGAAGGGCATTATTCATTATGAGCTGTTACCGCCAGGGAAGACCATCGATTCTGAATTCTACTGTGAACAACTGATGAGATTAAAGCAAGAAGATGAGAGAAAGCGGACAGAATTAATCAATAGAAGGGAGGTGGTTTTTCATTAAATTAAGAGAGTTTGGCTGGGAGGTGTTAATGCATCCGCCGTATAGTCCTGAACTTGCATCTTCAGATTTCCACCTGTTTAGGTCTCTTTAGAATTCTTTTACATTTCCATAGCAATAGAATCCGCTTTGTACCCGGCATTCTCAGATGGGATTTAAATCCATGAACTTGGACCCATGGATTGCTAAAATGTATTTCTTAATATCATTGTGACTACGTTACATAGTTTAGAAGAGTATGGTTGTGTCATATTTAAATGTTTCTTAAAAGGTGTTACTTATTAGTTTTAGTAACTTTTATATTTGTTATGTCAGTAAAAGCATTCTGAATTGTTTACGCGGCGGCGTAAACGACGCCGTTTACGCCGCCATTTACGCCGCCGCCACTGAATTTTTAGCTCTACGCCGCCGCCGAAGATTTCGGCATCGGCGCACATGCCTAACAGGTACTAAGTAGATTCTTTTAGCATTTTGTATTAAGAATATTTTTCAGTATAACATTGTGAATGCGAAATTGATGAAATATAATAAAAAAGAAAATTAACGACAAATGTAGTTATTTTATATTGATCAATCAAAAATAACTTAATGTAAAATATTGTTCTCAAAATCTTTAATTTGGCGAATTTTTTGCGGTAGTACCATAAACGGAATCGATTAATTAAAAAACAGGACTTTCACATACTAAGCGAGGCACACACAAATCCAATATATGTAATGGGCTTTGGTTAATTACACTGCTGACGACGGATGGTTATCCTAAGCTACGCCAACCAATCTAACAAGAACTCAGTCAGGGCTGTCGCCTACGTATAATTTGGAAACCAAATCGTAAGGGCGTAAGCGGCATTAAATTAAACTTTTTTTATGAAATGTTATTTTAACATGTAAGGTGTTTATTTTTTCATGAAAGACTTTTGGATTTTAGAATGAAAATGCAATTATAAATTCAAACCCACTAACGTCATAGGTTGGCAGTTTCTCGCCAAGGATAAATTACCTAATAAATAGAATCTTCTTGTACTTTCCTTGAAACTCAAGCTTGAAAAAATAGAATATATAAGTGTGACATGGTAGCCATCATGAATTACAAAACTTGGACCTTTCGAGAACAGGCCCTGCATTGTGACTACAGGAACAACTTGAAATTCTTTAGTGATTTTATGCTTATATCTGAGCAAGCCACTAATCAATTAAATATTGTATAAAAATAACAGACATAAGAAATTTCGTTTTCGGAAAAGTAGAAAGGGCCTTCTGTTCATGACATTTTTAACAATATTTTTGACATGTGACATGTTATGGATTACAACTGAAACGATCTACCGTTAAAACCACATCATTAAAAATAAATAAAGCTTTGATAGTAAGAAATAATATTTTAGTGATGTGAGAAAATATTATTAATAAATCACCCAACGCTACTAGGTAACCCGAGAAAGCCTTTTGTTGAACCAAGTTTAATATAAAGTTGGCGGTCAAGATAAGTTGGTTGAACTCCGAAGATGGATGGGTTTAGTATACAATCAACAAAGGCCAGTGTTTCCTTCGATAAGTGTCTAATATTGATGTTTTTAAGAGAAACCGCTTTCCTTTTCTTTATGATGTAGCTTTATTTAATTATATTCAATGACTCTTATTAATAATGTTGATTTTTATATTCATTCAATTATCTATTTTTTCACAGACAAATTGCGTAAATTATAGTCTATGTCATCCGCGTATGATGTAGGTTTTTCCAAAGATTACCCAACAAACAGACAAACAAAGTTAAAAACTTTATTTATTTGTAATATTAGTATAGATAGATGTGAAAATATTTCTATTCCATTTTCATTTAGCAAATGACGCAACTGGTAAAACTTCTGTATCATTTATCAAAATTATAAAGTAACCGAAAAAGTATTTGGAATTTCGAGCTTGAGCTTGCTCGTGCTAATTTGGCAGCGATCTCTAAAAACTTTCGAATTCCCTCCAATAAGAGCAAAGTGAATAAACTTTAAAGGTAGTTAGTTTTCCCATTATTCAGAGCTCGCTCGGGGAGTGGAGAATTTAAGCTCTCTACCTGAAATAATTATTCCTAACTTCATTCTGAATTTTCTTTCTGAAATATTACTACTCGTATAAAAATTTGGATTTTTTTTAAATAAGAATTTTACATGCTTTTTATGTAAGACTAAATAATGTCGACTGTTGAATGTCTTGTTGATACGACCGAAGTTTTTTATATGTTCAACTGTCGAATTGCTTATGCCCAAATGTAATTAATGTTTGTATTTTTTTAACATTAGGTAAATCAAACTGTTAGTCCATTAGTTGATACTGGTATTAAAGATCAATTGCCGATAGACTGCTTCCAAAAAAAAAACTCAACATAATAAAAAATAAGGTGATGTCAGAAGTCATAAAAACCAACGAAGGATGTACTATATAAGGGCCATGCCTTGTGGCAGCCTATCTCTGTCTTCCTCGCAAGCGATACGGCGTGAAGATATGTTAGATAGAGATATCTGTTACGAACTTAGCGGTTACTATATAAACGATGCATAAATTATGATAATAATCGTAGAATTAGTTTCGATTTGTTTATTTACAAATTTATCGTAAACTTTACTAGACGAATCAAGCCACTAACTTGATTACTTTAACTTATTATAATACGACTCACCGTTTTAGAGAGCAGCCAACTCGCTGGAAAGATGAGCGGGACATAAGTCACCATATAAATTATCGCTGTCCATGACACCAGCTGGCTGGAAACGCCGTAGTATTTCACCACAATGTCCTGGATTATCGTGTATTGCACCCACTGCAGCGAATTTGACGCCGAGAACATCACGAAGAACGTCAAAGTCAACCATCTGGTCCAGTAAACTTTGTACGCCGGCTCGTTCACATCTATAGTTAAACCATCCATCACACTACCCGATATATTGTCTTTGTTCGGAGAATCAATTGATAATAATAAATGAGATTTGGATTGTATAGGTGACAATCCATTTGGTTTGTTATCTATACCCGGAGACATGTCTTTTACTTAAAATAACAACGCCGCAAATTATTTTTATTTAAACAACACTGTTTGTCCTCTGTACTTATATAGATTATAAATGTCACTTCATTTTATTAGACATTAAAAGTTCCTCGAAATTTTTGTATATTCTTTCCTCAGAAAATGTATAAGATAAAAAAACACAATTCAGTATGATTCAATTAGGCACTATAGATTCACTAATATTTTAATAAATTTCTTGTGTCACTCGTTATATTTTGTTCGATTTCATCATTTATTCAGTCTTTTTTATACACATTTAGAATGTTTTTATAAAAAACAGTAGACGCGTTATCACAGAAGGTTGGTCCTCGGCTTAATGATTATCAGATCGCGGTTTTGATATCAATCTAACAACCAGATTATAGTTTAATAGTGCTGAATTGTCATCGGAAGTACCTGAAACAACAAATAAATTGTCATTATCTTTAAGTGTCAGATAAACATTAAAAAAAAACATACAGACACGAATCTTCATTTGCGTAGATCAGTGACTCTACCGCATAAATTCGAGCCTTGATTTAAATGACAAAATTAAGTCCTTATTGATAAAGCTGACAGAGTACTTTAAATTTCATTTGAAAGGCAAGACAAAGAAATCCAGTCGTTATGTACCGCGATTGCGCCTTCTCGAGCACATTTGCTTTTGATTGATGCGTATGCGCCATGTTACGAGATTTACTACGCCTAAAACCTTTAATTAATGCATTAGTCTTTATTTCAAGGGTGTTGGTACTTCTATTTCTCCTGCTTTATTTGTTGACAGCATTGTTGTCGAGCAAAAGCGTATTAAACAGATTGACTTCCGGATCTATACGCCTTGATTTTAAGTACAGACACTTTTAATCTTACCAAAAAATAATAAATAGTATATATAGTAATAGTATGAATGAATTAAATATTATTACACATACTGTACAGTCAAAATATTGTTTACGTATATTAAATATGTATAAAGATTGTAGCACATTGTGATGCCATCTTAAAATCGATTATCAGCATAGTAACACAAGCAGGATTTATCAAGGTATGTGTTTAAATCGTGTCGATAACGATACTCTTTACAATACGATTCTGAAAAGTGCTAAATCATATCAGTTATCATCTCACATGCGATGTCGTATTATAATTTTACGACCAGACACAATTTATTGATGTCAATCATGAAGTTTGATTGATATACGATTAGCTGATAAAATATTAATTATAGTCGAATTAATTGTAACAGCATATATAATCGGCTACGTAAAAAAATCAACATAGAAAAAATCATGTTTGTTGTATTGATATAGGCAATAGAAATAGATCATCAGTGAAAATTTCAACTGTCTGATTATCACTGTTCGTGAGATACAGCCTGGTGACAGACGGACGGACAGTGGATTCTTAGTAATAGGGCCCCCTTCAAATATAGAAAACCCTCAAACGGGGATTTGTTTGTTTTAAAATACAATTCGACGCTGCAGTTTCCAATTCATTGAGGCAGAAAGGACACTCTCGTTTTGTTTTTATTTTCGTTTTTATTCTGTCAGATTTCCGTGTTGTTATTGTCATTAACTAATTAAGTGAATAAACATTAAAATAAAATATTTTTCAATGCAGTTGCTCATAAAGCGCTATTTTTTTAATCCATTGTAAACACCGAAAGTGAGTCTTTAAACACGTGTTAAATAAAAATGTACTGAAATCCTTTACAGCACACGTGCTTAAAAGTATTTTTTTTTTAAATATATGAAAATATGTCAAACTTTAGAGGCAAAAGTATTTCAAGGAGTCTAGAACGAATATTTTCAAATAAAAATGTATGACATGAAAACATGTTCAAATATCACGTTTAATTTTAACAAATAATTATTAACTTTAATACCTACTTAGTTTTATTAACCTATATATTTGTTTTATTTCCTCGCAAAATCGTTGAAAAATGTTGTAAGAAACTTGAGCGTAAAAGGTTTTTCGAATTCGTGCCAATAAAAAACCTTCGCTACGCTCGTGTATTCAATTTGGCCCTTATTCGTAAAACCTTACTTTCCGCACTCGTATCTTAAATAACTATTAGACAGCGTCCTAAAAATAATACGAAATGAGCGAGGAGAAGAATTTACTTTAATTTATGACTATGAGGCGTAAGTATCCCTATTTTCTTATTATAAAACAATTTAGATAAGTAAGTACTATAATAAATTTAGCGAGCCATATTATTTTGCTTTATCAGAAGATTTAAGCATTTTTATATCTTTAAATTTGCATTTATTATGTTCATTCTTGTCTAAATTAAAGTACAACACAAAACAGTTTTTTCTCAAATAATAAAGTAAATTCAAGTTTTTTGAGAAACATTAGCGCCGTGCTTTTACATATATATATTTTGATTAGTAAATTTATGTTAGATTTTTTTTTTTACTTTCTAGTGTATTTTAATAAAAGCTTTTTTTTTTAATATATATTTTTAGGTTTAGTATAACATCTACTCATCGGCAAACAGTTTGATTATATATAATGCAAAGTGCTTAAAACATAACCGTTCTACCATATTGGGTGATCCACCATATTGGATTTAAACTGAAAATAAGTAATTATTGGAAATGTAAGAATAATAAAAAACGAGTTAATAATGAAGGTTATCTACGCGATTGTTTTTTTGTAGAAAATATAAAGTTTCTGCAAGTTTTAAATGCCGGCTAATATCTTATCATAATTTTATTACCAAAAAAAAATCAATAAACACGCGCGACAAAGATCTTACGTGCGTAGATTATTTTAATCGATTTATCGCATTCTATTTCTTCTTTAATAAAGCACAACACCTGTAGATATTAAATGGTTAAGAACCTAGTTTAATTAATGAGTACACAGATAATAAATATTCTATCTTTTTATTGATAATCAACAATTATTATAATTTTATATTATTATTTCTTAGAATTAATATTAACGAATGCATGAACCACTATCTAGCCGTTTGTTTGTAAAGATAATAAAATTTACATTACATAATTTATCGTACTAACTTTTAATTAAATTAATTTTTGTACTCGTATGTTTCTATTTATTTTACTGATTGGACTGTTGATTTCGATTCATTTCCTTTTAATCTTTGAACGTAATTTTAAGTATTTTAGTATCTTAGAATAACAAAGAATTCGCCATGATGCTTAGTATTTTATCTGATAAAATACATCTACCCTTTTGTACTTCCTATCCCCATAATATTTTAGGAAATAATAAAAAGAACTGCACTAGTTAAAAAAGATTCTCAACGCAGTTCTTCTGCTATAATAAGTCAATATAAATCGGTTGTAAGCCAAGTCGGTTAATTCATTATCTGCTCTCATATATGTATGAGCAGCTATCCAATAGTTAACATTGGAAAGTTATACAACTTTGTACACATTATGTTTTATTGGAATCTTTTTATATTTTGTAAATCGTAGATTCATGTACAACACCATGTGAAACACTATAATATCATAAAAAAAATATTCAAAGCACTAACAAATAATATAAGTAAAAGATTAATTAAACTAAAACTAATAGATTAAGAAATAAAAGTTTAAATGAAAACAGCAAACTTGCCTGGAGATTGCTACTTACATATTGTTTACTCTTTATTAGATATATTGTCTAATTGGGCTAAAGTATATCTATAGAAAATCAGTTCAGACCTACCTAAAAAATGTTCTTGTATAAAATTTTTGAAATGTGATAATTAAGCTTTTTCGTTTGATACTCTACACGGAATGATGAAGTAATATATATATTTTTTAGTTCTTACTTTATCCTCTCTAGAGGGCGCTGTTACCAATTTAATGTAACGTCACATAGTCTATAGCACGCAGGCAACTTCTGATGATATATGAAGGTTAATTAAATTTTTATGAAATTTTAATAATTGATTAATTTACTTTCAACACTGACTATACTACCACCACCACACTAGAAGTGTCCTAACCTAAAAATAACGCAAACTCAAGCATGCATAGTGAAACCGAAATGTGAATCGAACGTATAGTCGTATACAAACGAAACGATATTAAACGAACTTCTTCGTTTAATATGAATGTGACCTTTTAGGTTTGCTGGGGGGACGGCGCGTACGCAGTCCCCACTACCAAAAATTACGCGTCCGAGTTATCCACATTAGGGATAATCGCAAGGGTCAACCCCACCGCAGTGCAATGGTGGAGCCTCGCCCTGGGGGAACCGCCTTCTTGATCACGGTATCCCCTACGCCAGGTAAGTATGCTTTGGCGGGCCCGACTGGGGAACGTTATGTTTACCGCGAAAACTTTGATAGCGCGTTGTAACAGGCTACACCGCCATCTAGGGGGAATCTCGAATTTTATGTTACTCTGATCGTGGCTTAATATTAAAATGGTTCAAAATGTAACATAATAGGCATTCAAAGAAGAAGAAGTATGTTCTACAGTACACATACTGTATTTTGCATGTTCAATAATTTCTCCGAGAGTTTTATGTCGATTTCAAAAATTAATTTTCATTCAAATTCGAATTATCCTTAAGTGGTCCCATACAAATATATAAAAGTCGGACTAGCAATAATTGTAAGAAATTGTGTAATTGAAGTTAATCAACAACAACAACTCTGAGAAATTGTACCTAACTGTACAAAATATGTCGTTGATGTAGACAAAATCGTGTATTTTCTTTCACAAATAAAGATTCACATTTTAATCGATATGCCTTTTTTTATTCTTGATAGGCAAGCACTTGACCACAGATCACCTGATGGTAAGCAATGCAGTAGTCTAAGATGGAGCGTGCTTGCCTAGAAGGAACCGATTCACTCTTGACTTGAAGAGTCCCAGATTGTATTTGTGCGGAAACAGCGAGTCCGGTAGCGAATTCCACAACTTCGCAGTTCGCACGATGAATTTAGTGGCGAATCGCTTGGTGCGAGTTTGTGGAATCTCCACAGTAAAGCGGTGACGCTTCCCAGTACCCTTGGTTGTACG